CCAATAAATTGCAGCATTGAGTGGTGTCACTGCAGTTGCACCGCCTGCTGCTTCAGCAGACCTCACGATGTCGATGGTGCCATAATCTGTGTTGGAGGTCTTGCTACAAGTGCTCTGATTGTCCATTCGCATTTCTTGCTGCTCTCGTGTACAAATCACTGCTCTTCAAGATGTGTGTATGGGCATCGCAGTACTTGAGGCCAAACGTCTTACTGTCTTAAGTCGGTTTGTCAATTCCTTTTCTTCGTTAATGGTTTTAATTGTGGAGAGCATTAACACTTGACTTGTTCGTGAATAACCCCACCTAAGTTCATACTCTCTGGCCCCTGATATTTTTGTGATTCTTAAGATCAGTGCTTTATGGCTTTGACGACAACCGCGTCGCCAACTCTCTTCACCCACAAGAGGATTAAAATTATAAGTTTTAAAACTATCATGAAGGTGTCCACCACAACTCTTTCAAGGCTGATCGCTTTATTGAAAGAAAGTAATCATCGCAATGTCAACTCCTATCCTCCTTCTTCTGAAGCCATACCAAAACCTTGTATTCACATATTTCATCATTTTTCAATTTGCGGCCTTCACTTTGCTTTCAGATTTGTAGAAACAAAACTTGATGATTGCTTTTATGCAGTTACGAAAGATGGAGTGCGCTGTGAATTATCTGCCAACCTGGTCGCTTTTATTGTCTTGCGAAGTTTTGTATGCCATCTATTAGAAAGCATCAGCAAAATGCATTCTTCAAATCAACTTTCCATCGATTGTTGAGCAAGTTTTGGTACTTCCTAGTGATGGAATAATGATCACATTGTCAGTTCTCAGACAGCAGATGCCGAGGAAGATCTTCGTCTCCTGGATGGAGGGAAGAGAGGTCATTTGACTCGAGGCCGCCTACCACCTGAGTTTCACTGCTGCCCATATTTTGCGAGGGCTGTCGAAGTGATAAGGTCGCTGCACCTCCTTGCGGTGTTACAGGGTGGCATGTGACCACCTTACGCAGCTCCTCATAATTCAATTAGTGACTGACGGAGGAATGAGGCCTAAGTGCAATTCTGCCGACGCTGGTGATGCGTGAATCCACTTTTACAACACGACCACAGAATTCAGGCGCATTTTAACTGTTGACTTGACTGTCCTAACCCATATGAAAACCCGTCTTCTTAAGTAAGCAATTTTACGTTTATTTAATGAAGCACCCGTTGTAGACGTTCCTCTCTGCATTCTAAACAACTTTTGGAAGAAAAGTTGAAATTTCTAGGCTAAAGTGTGTGTTTTGATTGGGAATTTAGGCAAAAACTCCATTAAATCCTAAACTTAGGGTCAGGTTGCTAAAATCGCTGTCAAGCATAAATTTCTTGCTATAAAAAGAATTGAATACTCCTAAGTCAATGCCCATTTAAATTTCCTTAATTTAAAAGAAATTGACTACGAAAGGATAAGCAGCCATGAGGTGTGAAATCAAGTAGTACTCGCCGTTTTGAGATTCAAAAAGCAAATAAAGTAAGCATAAATCAAAGTACTAAAGGAGGAAAATAGCAGCACTTTGAGGGACGTTTAACAGGCGGAATGGTACTTTATAGAGTCTGAGGAACTACAAAACTTTTGACAAAATAGCAGTAAGCCAGAGTAGCCAAAATAGAAACGATACTCGCCCTTCTTGTCAAATAACCCCATCTGAACGCATTAATCATCTTACTCTTGGGGGGCTGGAACTGGTACTGCTTATATGCCCTAAAATGGAACGCTTTTATGTCAATCAAATCACGGCTACGGACTCCATTTAATGTGACCATTATGGTGCAAAATCATGGCACCAAATGCCTTAAGAAAGGAAATGTAAACCTCAGTAGTGCTTTACAGTATCAAGCACCGATAAATATAACAAAAAATGAATGCTAACTTGAATAGAATGCACAAACACAAGCTACCGCAAGCTATATTAAGCTTCCACGAGATAATAAGTCTAATCATATTGCAAAGGGACCAGAGGGATTAGATAAAGAGTAATAGTTAAAAGGAAAAATAGGGAACTACGAATAATAAAATTCGGAAATAACATTTCCTCAAAACTCTTTCAAAAAATCCGATTGTGAATCTAACCACCTGTCGGATGTTTTGCTTTGCACCATAGCCGTGTGCCAAAACCAGTGGCCTCCCAGCTTCTCACTCTCTATTCCTCTTACCTTCACATGCGCT